CTCTGTGTGCTTGCGACGAGCACACGCACACGCACACACACACACACACGCACACACACACACACACACACACACACACACACACACACACACACACACACACGCACGCACGCACACACACACCTTGCGTGCCTATGCAGGTGCGAGCTGGCCTCCTCCCCCGCCCGAGAGGAGGCGGCACCGGCGAGGCTGACTCTGCGGCGCTGATGCTCCTCGGCTTGCTGGCGCTGCCGGCCGCCACCGCGCATCCCGTTCACGGCTTCCTTTCTTGGACGCGCCACGCGTTCCGTTTCTAGGCGCTGCTGGCCGCCACCGCGCACGCCGCGGCGCTGCACGCGGCGGCCGAGGAGCACGCGGCAACAAGCAGGAGACTCGCGGCGGCGGCGGAGCGGCGGCGGCGCGCCGCCGCGGCAAAAGCAACGCCCTCGCCCGTGAGTTGTCCTTCCGAGTCTGCGCGCGTCCCTGCCAGGCGCGCCGTGGTGGCGTCCAAGCCTTCGCCGCTGTCGCTCCGCCCGCCAGAGGGCGCCTCGGGCAGCAGCTCGGCCGCGCCGCCGCCGCCGCCGCCGACGGCCGCAAGCCCAGCCGGCGTCCGGCGGCGGACGAACCGCCACACAATGGTCCCAGACGCCGTCGCGCTAGTCACGGGCCCATCCTTCGCCGCGGCGCTGGAGGACATCGTCGAGGACACGGCAGAGATCGCGGCGGCGGCGCCGCGCTGGGTCGCCCTCGTGGCGGACTGGCTGATGTGGCACTCGGCGTATGCGCCGCTGCTGCTGCTTGTGCTGGCCGCGTCGGCGCCTTGGGCGACAGCAGGCGTCGCGCACGTGGTCCTAATTAATGAATGAATCAGTGAATCAGTTAAGTAGTGAGTTCGACGGCAGGCGTCGCGCACGTGGTCTGGCTGCTCCTCTTCTGCTGGCTCGGCTCCGTCCCCACCCGCAGGGCGCGCCAGAACTGGCCGCTGATGATGCAGTACTGCGCCGTGGTCGCCTCCGTGCAGGCGGGCTGGCGGGCGCTTCTCGCGTGTCCGAGACATGTCCGAGACATGCCCGAGACATGCCCGAGACATGTCCCTCCAGGCGGGCTGGTGGGCGCTTCTCGCGCCCCTGCCGCCGCCCGCCGGCCACGGCCAGCCCCAGCTCGTGTCGGCGCAGCTCTGCTGGTCGATTGGGATGCTGCCCGTCTTTGCGGCGCAGGGCCGTCCTCCACGGCTCCGTCGCCCCACTCCAAAGCACGAATGACGCGCCACTCACCGCCGACGACGCACCGTCGATAGGCAGCCTCGCACCCCTTGCCGACCCCGCTCCCTGTGAGCCGCTGCTTTTCCCTATGGGTCGCTCACCATGGCGGCCACTCACCGCTAGGCGTCCTCTTCGGCTCCCCGCCCTTCCGCGCCCTCGCCGCCCGCCGCGCTTGGGCGGTCGCCGCAGCGCGGCACATCCCAACGGCGTGGTGGAGGCGCTTGGACGTTGCGGCGCTGCCGCTCTTTGCGCGCCATTCCGACTCGGCCCCGCCGCCCGCCGCCGCCCGCCGGCCGGGGAGGAGGAGAGCCGCCTCTCCTCACCCTCTCAAGCACTGCAGAAGTGGAGAGTAGTAGCGACTGGTGACTCGTGAAGCCGTTGGCAGGCCGTCTCTCCTCCTCCGCGCCTCACGCTGCGTGAGCGCGCTCCTCGGCGCCGTCGCGCCCCTCAACTCGGCCGTCCTCGACGTGGCCTTCGCCGTCGCCGCCGCCCTCGCGCCCGGGGTGCGTAATCTCTGGTGATCTCGGGTGATCTCGGGTGATCTCGGGTGATCTCGGGTAGTCTCGGGTAGTCTCGGTTAGTCTCGGGTAATCTCGGGTAGTCTCGGGTAATCTCGCGCCCGGGGTGCGTGCGAGGGGCAGTGTGCACCGCTGGTCCGTGAGAGGGCGAGTGTGAGTGTGCTGTGGCAGGTGCGTCTGATGGGCGCGGTGTACTTGCTCACGCTGCTCGCGCACCTGCTGCTGCGCAAGCACCGCCCCGCGGGCTGGCACAATGCGCTGCGGCAGAGCGCCCTCTCGCTCGAGCTGCTCTTCTACGCGCTCAAGCTGCTGCTCGAAGAGGGGTGGAGCGCCGCCACGGGCGTGTCTCTCGCCAACGAGGTGGTGGCTAACCATTCACCACTCATTCCTGACTCCTCGCTGCTCGCTCCTCACCAGGCGTGTCTCTCACCAACGAGGTGGTGGCTAACACTATTCACCACTCATTCCTGACTCCTCGCTGCTCGCTCCTCACCAGGCGAGTCTCTTACCAAGGAGCTGATGGCTTCGCTCTCGTCGCTCGCCTGCTCGCTGCTGCCGCCCGACGTGTGCGAGGAGGCGACGAGCTTCTGGGAGATGACCCGAGATGACCCGAGGTTACCCGAGGTTGCCCGAGATTGCCCGAGATTGCCCGAGATTACCCCACGTGTGCGAGGAGGCGGCGAGCTTCTGGGAGCGAGCCAGCTGTGATGGGTCACCGGCTGTGAGCAGAGGGGTTTGGGAGGACTAGGCGACGAGCTTCTGGGAGTCGAACCAGTTTCTCGAGCCTAACAACCTCGTCACCCTCGCATTCCTCTCCGTCCTCTCCTCGCGCGCCTCGCGCGCCCCCGCCGACCGGGCCCGCTGCTTGCCGCTCCCCGCCCGCCGTCCAGCCGCCAGAACCGGGTACCATAGGTCGTACGAATGGCTGATCCGGTAGGCGCGCTACCTGCCGGCGCCCGTCCAGCGCTCCTCCCGACCTTCCCTCGCGCCGACAGCGTCGAGCGCCTCCGTCGGCGGCCTCGTCGCCAGCGTCGCGCTCTACGTCTCGTGCGTCTGCGCCGTCTTCACCTCCGCAGAGGCTGACTTGCTGCGCGCGCTGCTGCTGCTCGCCGCCGTCGGCGCGACCTTCTCTCCGTTCGGATGCCCCTCGAGCCGCTGCCGCCGACCGGCAGCCTGCGCCGCGTCGGGCGACGGGCGTGGCGACGGGCGGCTGCCCCCCCCTAGCGGCTGCTCTGGCCCATTGAGTCCTGCTGTGGCCCCTACGGAGATGCGTCTGTTGAGTAGGCGTCTGCCCCACTCGCGGCTGCTTCTAGGAACTTTCTAGGAACCTTCTAGGAACCTTCTAGGAACCTTCCTAGGCGCCTGCCCCACTCGCGGCTGCTCTGCGGCCTGTGGCTCCCGGTGGGCGTGGTGACGGTGGTGGACCTCGTCTTCACGTACTCGCTCGACCTCGGCTCGCTCGGCCTCGGCCTGCTTGGCTTCCTCAAGGACGGAGACGGCGACGACGGCCGCCGCCGCGCCGCACCCCTCTCCTCCTCCTCCTCCTCTGGCGCGCCGCCGTCCGAGTCTTGGATCTCCCCCCTCCACGTCGGCGACGTGCACTGGTTCTCTGCGTCCGCACAGCTCTCCAACTCATCGCGGGGCGGGTGGGCCCTCCTCCGCGCCATGTCCGTCCCCGTAGCCCTCCACCTCCTCGCCATCGCCCAGCAGACGCTGCACCGCACGCCGCAGCAGCAGCCGCACCAGTCCTCCTCGGGAGACGAGGAGGAGGCCGCCGCGCTCCGGGCGAGGAGGCCTCCTCGGAACCGCCCCCAAACTTCTCGGAACCTTCCCGTGTAGGGGGCCGCCGAGCTGGCGCCCCTCCGGCCACGCCAGCGCCAGCCGTCCCGCTTTGCGCCGCACCTGCCTCGGCTACCCACGGCGCACTCGCAGCGCTCGCACGGCGGGGGAGGCGCCTATTCGCCCCTCGACACTTCGGAGGGCGACTCGTCGGTGGAGCCGCCGGCGCGCCGCGAGGAGGGCGGCGGGGGCGGCGGCGGGGTCGGCGGGGGGCGCGGCGCGGGGCGCGGCGGAGCGGAGGGCGGCGGAGCGGAGGGCGGCGGAGCAGGGGGGCGGGAGGGCGGCGAGGGCGGCGCTCCCCTGCCGGGGGTCGGGCTTGGCGTGCTGCTGCCGGGCGGGGAGGAGGAGGGCGGGGCGGAGAGCGGGGCGCGGGCCAAGGCGAGGGCTGCGGTGGCGCTCCTTGCAGCACCCTCGCCCGCGCCCGCCCCCTCGCCCCTCGCGCTGACGCACGCGGCCGCCGCAGTCGTCGGCGCCGCCCGCATACTCCTGCCGTGGGCGGCGGCCTCCCTTCTCATCGCCGCCGCCGCCGCCGCCGCCTCGTCCGCTTGGTCGCTCACCCTGCTGACCGCCGCCGCCGCGCTGCGGCTCGGACGGCCAGCGACGGGCGGCGGCGCGGTCGGATCGAACTGCGCGTGGCGTGCGGCGCGGCTGCTCCTCGCCACTGCGGTGTGCGGCCCGTACCTCGCGGAGCTGTCTCTGCCTCCCTCCGTCTGGTCGGAGCCGCGCAGGCCGTGGGCGTCGTGGGCCGCCGCTTCGGCGCCGGCAGAGGGCCAGTGTCTCGCCAACGCCACCTCCTCCTCGCACGGCGGCGCGCCCTCCCCCCCCTCGGGCGTGGTCTGCTGGCTTGGCGTCGCCGGAGAGCGTCACACCGCCGCCGCGCTGCTCGCGGTGGCTGCGCTGACGGCGGCGGCGCGCTGCCGCGATCACGGCCTGCCGCGACACGTCCGCGACACGTCCGCGACACTTCCACGAGACGTCCACGAATAGGCGCTCTGCCGCGACTACGGGTTGCCACCGCCTGAGTTCCTCGCGCACCGCCCCCCCCTCACGCGCGCCGCGCGGCTGCTGTGGTCGCTCGGCTGGGGAAGCCGCCCCTCCCTCCTGCTCGGCGGCCCGCTCGGCGGCGCGCTGCTGCCCGTAGCCGCGCTGTTGGGCTCTGTCTGCGCCTTCGCCGCCGCGCCCCCCTCGCTCTTCGCGCTCGCCCTTGGCGCCCTCTCGCTGCGCGGCGTGGTTGTGGCTCCCTCGGTGCGCGCCCTCGGCGCCACCTCTTGGGGCGTGCGCCGCGCCTTCGCGCTGCTCGTCTTGCTACTGCTCTGCGCGTACCAGCTGCCTTGGGTCCCCGAGGTCTGCCGCTGGCCGGCCCCCGAGATTGCCCGAGATCGCCCGAGATTGCCCGAGATTGCCCGAGATTAGGTCTGCCGCTGGCCGGCCCCCGACGGGCCGCACCACGAGGCGTGGCCGGGGGACGAGGCGCCCGTCGAGGGCGACTCGCTCTCCTGGTGTGCCCTCGCCGCAAACACCCTCGGGCTCGTCCGCTTCGACGCCGCCACCGCGTCGCCGCCCTCGCTCGCGTGGATCGCCGCCGGCTTGTGGGCCGCCTACGACCTGCTCGTGCTGCTGCGCGCGCCGCGCTACGTCGTCGGCGCCGAGGCTGTGCGCGCCGAGTGGCGGCGCGGCACTGCTGAGCGGTGCGCGTCGCTGCGGGCGAGCCGTGCGACGCGGTTGCGCGCGCTGTACGCCACGCGGCAGGCGGTCTGGCTCTCGCTCGAGACTGAGCGGCTCGACACGATCTGCCGCCGGCTCGAGACAATCGAGGCGCTCATCCACGGGCCCACTCTCGGCGCGACGGGGCGCAAGGACGGGCGGGACCAGGGGCTTGCGGCGCGGCTGAGCGGGCTCCCCGGCTGGCTGACTCGCTCCGGCAGCGGCGTGCCGGACATGGAGAGGGCTGCGCCGATCGAGCTCGAGCGAGGCGACGAGCTCCGACACGGCGGTGGGCGATCTCGGCTGATCTCGGCTGGTCCCGGCTGATCTCGGCCGATCTCGAGAGACTAGGCGACGAGCTCGACACGGCAGTGGGCCAGCTGATGCGCGCGCTTCGTGGGTCGCCGCACGCCACCGCGTCGGCGTGCCGAGAGGCTCTGCTGCGCTGCGGCGCGAGGACTGGGCCATGGCCGCGCGCGAGCCGGCAAGAGACGCTTGGCGCGACGCTGATGGTGCGCGCTCTGACGCTGGTCCTCGACTCGGAGGGGCTCCTCTCTGGAGGCGGCGCGCTGGCGGCGGTGGAGGAGGCGCATCAGCAGGGCAGCGCCGGCAAGCGGTCCTCTGCCGCCGCCTCTGCCGCCGCCTCTGCCGCCGCCTCTGCCGCCGCCAGCGAGCCGGCGTCTGCTGTCGCGGATGCGGGCGGCGCGGGCGGCGGGGACGGCGGCGGGGGCGGGCGGGGAGGGGGTGGCGAGTGGTGGGGGTCCCGTTTCGAGGCCGCGCCGCCTGCGGTCCCTCCCTGCGCATCCGCGCGCGAGAACGCGATCTGCGGAGGCGCGGCCGGCTACAGCGGCGCAGTCGAAAGCGGCGGCGGAGGCGGCGGAGGCGGCGGAGGCAGCGGAGGCGGCGGAGGCGGCAGGGCAGCAGCAGCAGAGGCGGCGGCGCAGGGTCGGCGGCGGGCGGCAAAGACGGCGACAGCAAAGGCTGCGACGGCGGCGGCGGCGGCCGCCCCGCTACTCCCGAGCGCACACGCGGCTCTGCGTGCGGCGCTGCTCCGCCTCTGCGACCCGGTGCTGCACTCGTACTCGGCGGCCGGGCGGGAGGAGTGGGAGAGGCTGGAGCGAGAGCGGCTCTCTCCGCTGCGGAGGGGAGGCGAGTCCCCCACCGGCGGAGATTACCCGAGATTACCCGAGATTACCCGAGATTACCCGAGATTACCCGAGATTAGGAGGCGAGTCTCCCACCGGCGCGGGCGCGTTTGGCGGCGGGGCAGGGGCGGCCGCGGTGGGAGCCCTCGCCTCCTCCTCCGCCCCCGCGGCGCTGGCGCGACTCGACCAGCTAGAGAGCGCGAGGAGCGCCGCCACGCTCTCCGAAGAGAGCGCATTTGCGGCGGAGCCCACTGCCGGCCGCGGCGGCGGCGCCCTCGTCGCCGCAAGCGGCGGCGGCGGCGGCGGCGGCTCTGGCATCTCGCTGCTGATTCGCTCCGTCTCGAGTCGCTTCGCGTCCCTCTCCGGCGGCTGGCTCGGCACGAGCCCCGCCGAGGAGGTGGCGGCTGCGGAGGCCGGCGGCGGCGCGGCGTCTTCCGCGCGCTCCTCGCGCCGCCCTGCGCCGGAGCCATCGCTGCCAGCGCCACGGGAGGCGGCGGCCCAGGCGGAGGAGGAGGCGGCCGCGGCGGCGGCGCTCCTCTCCGATCCTCCGCAAGAGACACCGCTCCGCCCGCCGCCCATCCCCGCCGAGCAAGCCGCGCCGCCCGCACCGGCGGGCGGCGGCGCGTCTGAGCCGTCGCATCGGACGGTGTGGGCGTTGCTGCTGCGCGCGGTCGCATCCAACACGCAGCCGCTTCTTTGGGCGAGTCTCGTCTACAACCACGCCGCGGACGCGTCCCTGCTCTCGCTGCCGCCCGCCGCGTCCGTCTTTCTGTACGCCGCGCTCGAGGCGCCGCGGCCGGCGCGCGGCTACTCGGCCTGGTTGCTGCGCTACTTTGTGTTCGTGGTGGTGCTCAAGGCGGTGTACCAGCTGCCGCTCGTCTGCGCGTGGCCGAGCTTCAGCTTGCGCACGTCCCTCCCCTGGGAGAGCCCCGCGACCGAAGACCCGCACCTCGCCGTCTGCGTGGAGCCAAACTCGAGGCACGCGCAGGAGCCGCCGACCGAGATCCTAAAGACGGTGCGGCTCGAGGAGCTGACCAAGTCCTTCCTCTTCCAGCTCGGCTTGCGGAAGCACAGCGGCCCGTACGCCGCTCCGCCTGGCCAGACTTTGCTGGCGGCGCTCACGCCGCCGATCCTGGCCATCCTCGCGCTGCTGCTTGACCGAGAGATCGCCGACGCCACCGGTGCGTTCGACGCCGCGCGCAGCGAGATCGCGCGGCAGGCGAGCAGCCGAGAGGAGTCGAGAGGAGGAGCCGAGAGGAGCCGAGATGTCATCTCAAGATCGTGTGGCAGGCGAGCAGCCGCGCGTCGAGCCGCGGCTCGACAGCGCGCGCCGCCCCCGACGCTATCGACGCGGCCATCGGCGAGGGCGTCGACGACGCGGCGGACGACGCCACCGCCGGCGGCTCCGGTGGCGCTGGCCGCGAGGCGGGGGCGGTGTGGGAGTCGGGGGCGGGGCGGGAGGCGGGGGCGGGGCGGCGCCCAGTGGGCTTGCGTGGAGGGAGTCGTCCCGGGAGAGCGCGGGCAGCGTTGGGCGCGTGCCGCCGGGAGGCGGCGCGCGTCGCTGCGCAGGGAGCTGGCTTTGTGGACCGGCTGGTGACGGCCGACTACGACAAGCCGGGCGCGTCGCTCTACCTGCCGATGTTCAGCGCGTGCTGCCTCATCTTCCTCTGGTCGCTGCTCTTCTTCAACGGGCTCGTCGGCTCCACCGGCTACAACGTGCGCTGCCAGGCGCAGCTCGGCGGAGTGACGATGAACGCGAAGAATTCCCTCGGCATGAGCCAGTTCGACGGCGCCACCGTGTACGCCGCGCTCGCCGCCTTCGGCGTCATCCTCGTCGACCGCGCCATTTACCGCATCTGGCTGCCGCCCTCGCCCTCCGAGGTCGCGCCGCGCCGCTCGGGCGCGCTCGCGCTCAAGCTGGCGATGCACCTGCTGCTGACGGTGCGGCTGCACGCCGCCGTCTTCCTGCCGAACTTGCCCGCGTGGCAGTGCGAGTCGGACTGCACCTCGTCGCGCCAGTCGTGCACGCGCTCGTACCAGCTGCAGGCCTACTACGCCCTCTGCTGCACGTACCTGCTGCTCTCGGCGCGGCAGCTGCGCTGGGGGATGGAGCTCATCGTCGTCGAGTACCCGATGACGGACTCGCGAGATACGATCTCAAAGACACAATCTCCGAGATACAATCTGCCGTGGTAGGCACCCGATGACGGACTCGCTCTCCCTCTTCCGGATCTACTGTGGCATCTTCTTCCGCTCCATCCCCTTTGTGTGGGAGATCCGCACACTCATCGACTGGTCCGCCACCCCCTGCCGCCCACTCACCGCCGTCCCACTCCGTTGCTGTCATCGCGGTTCAGCCGCCCTCTAACGTCGCCCACTACGCAACACCGACCGCCTTCAACCGACGGTCGGCCTATCACAGCACCGCCACCGATCTGCCGGCCTCTGCCTCTCAGGTCTGTCCAGCCGACGGCGCTCACCATGTTCATGTGGCTCAAGTGCGAGGACATCTACTCCGGCCTCGCCTCGGTGCGCGTCGACATGACGTGGCGGCGCATGTACGAGCGCGGCGTCGAGATGCCGCTCTCGAGCAAGCTCTTCTCCGGCGTGACGCCCGTGCTGCTGCTGCTGCTCACCATCGTCGGCCCGCTCATCTACTTCTCCGACATCAACCCGATCAAGTCGGAGAACTACGTCGAGCGGGCCGAGGCGCACCTCTACCTGCAGGCGGACCAGCCGGCCGGCTTCTCGAGCGAGTACAGCCTCGGCGAGGTGCAGGCATTCGCCGTGTCGGACCTGCCGCCCGAGGACCAGCTCCGCACAAACACCTTCCACCGCGAGCAGTGCTGCTGCGCGCTCTGCCTGCTCGAGCAAGGCAACGCGAGCGCGCCGGCGCGGGTGCCGAGCGTGGGCGGGGCCGGCTCCTCCTGCCGCCCCAAGGGGTGCGAGTGCGCGGCCTGCGTGCCGTGCCGCGAGTTGGCAGGGTGCGGCCCCAAGGCTGGCGAGCTGGTGCAGGAGCACTGCGGCTACGAGTACCTCTTCTCCGCCTCGTGGGCCACGCAGTACTCGCGGCTCGAGTTCCGGCCAGAGTCGGAGGCGGTCTTCTCCATGTCCCCCGAGGCGCGCGCCTGGCTCGCCACCGCCGCCTCCGTCTCGCTCGGGCTGCGCATGACCGTCCACCGCAAGTTCGACCTCTACTCGTCGCCTATCCAGCTGCAGCAGGCCGTCGAGCTGAACGGGACAGCGCGCGAGCTGCTCAACGAGGCGCTTCGTGACCGCACCATCTCGCGCGACGTGCCGCTCGAGCCGTTCTACCCAAAGTTCGTCCGGCTGCCGTCGGTCGACAAGGCGCCGCCGCTGCCGCTGCAGGGGGGCGAGAGCGACCATTGGCGCACGCAGCGGCCCCTCGCCCTCGAGCTGCTCTCGCCCCTGCCTTGATCGCTGGTTCACGGTTGATAGGCACACGCAGCAGCCCCTCGCCCTCGAGCTGCGCTCCGCGGGCGAGGTGCAGTGGTGGCGGCTGGTGCAGGCGTGCTCCCCTGTTTGACGACCACTTCACTCTTCATCGACTATCCACATCTCACGGCGGCTGGTGCAGGCACAACACCACAAATCTCTCTCTCTCTCCCTCCCTCTGGTGCAGGCGTGCTCCGACCCGACCACGTTCGGGGGCGAGGCGGGCGACGGGCTGCGCATCGTCGTCGCGACCGACTGGGTCTTCGACTCCATCGGCTGGAACACGATGCAGCAGGGCTCGGTCCTCGCCTTTTACGGCCTGATCGTGTACGGCGTCGGCCGGCTCGTCCGCTCGTACGTCGCGGGGCGCCGGTACGGCATGGTGCTCGACGAGCTGGTCGACTCGCGCGACATCCACGAGCTGCTCGACGGGCTGTACATCGCGCGGCGCAGGCGCGACCTGCTCAAGGAGACGGAGCTGTACGAGGCGACCCTCCGGCTCTACCGCTCGCCAGAGACGCTCCTTCAGCTCACCGGCTCAGACCTGAAGCGCGAGTGAGCCAGGGAGTGTGCGCGCCTGTCTGCGTATCTCTCTGCGTTGGGTCCTACGACTCTGACTACAGTCTTCTCGAATGTGTAGGTAATATACTGTTCAGCCAGTTTTTTGGGTTTCGGAGAAGGGATCTCGTTTTGACCGCGCAAGATATAAAGGGTGGCTAAGGGCTCTGCCCGCAAGGCGCCCGCGTCGCAGACGCGGTACCATTGACAAATCTGCAATATACCCCCCCCCACACGAACAAATAGCAAAATCCGAATACCGTGCACGAATCCGGCGATCTGGCCGTGCAAGCCTGGCTGGTGCCAAGACATTCGTAAAATTGAAGCCAAGAACGTCCGCCAAATCCGTGCTAGGGAAAGCTGATCGAGCCCAGCGTGCCCGCGACCGCCTCCCGCGCAGCACCGCCGCTGGGGACGACACGCTGCGGAATCGGATCGAGCCCATGCACGGGCAAAGAAGGACGCTGCAGAAGCGATTGGAGAGGCAGCCGGCGTCTGCCGTCACAACGAGTCCCAGCTGGTTGGACATGCGCGTCGGCTCGCCCGAGGACTGCTGTCGCGACCCTCCCGTCGTGACGCAGCCTCCGACGAGCTCTGCAACCGAGGAGAGTGAGGGTGCGCCTCCCCTCACTGCTGGCCTGGCTGCGCACCGCCCCACAAAGCACCCCCTCGAGCATCTCTACAAGTACAAGTGCAAGGGCGACCTTCTCCAAGTCGTCAACACGCCCGGCGGCTCCGACAAGACTTTAGCCTTGGCCACCCTCCTTGCGGAGCAGGAGGAGATCCGCTCTCGGTCGGCAACGTGGCAGCTAGTCGAGAGACTCGGTAGGTGTGACCCCCCTCTGTGCTCTGAGTGAGGACAGGAGAGAGAGCTGAGCCCTGGCTGTCAGGCTGTCAGGTGCTGTCAGGTGATCTGTCGGGCTGTCGGGCACTGTCAGGCACTGTCAGGTGCCTCTGTCAGACCAGCTGTCAGGTGCTGTCAGTGCTGTCAGGTGCTGTCGGGTGCGTGTCTGACAGGCGAGGTGATCTGTAGCTGTCGGGTGCTGTCGGAGCTGTCGGGTGTTGCTGTCAGACGCTGTCGGAGCTGTCAGAGCTGTCAGGCTGCTGCTGCTGTTAGACGTTGGGCTGTTGCCGTCAGGTGCTGTCAGGTGGTGCTGTCGGGGTGCTGTCAGGCTCTGACACACATCAGCCACACTTATGACACTATCAAGAGGGCGCTGACTATCAAGGGGGTGCTGACGCCGATGACGCCGGCGGCTACGCAGCTACCCCCCCTCCTACACGGCGTGATCACGCCGGCGGCGGCCGCCGCCTGGGGAGCGCAGATGGCGGCGCAGAGGCATAGGCGGCGGCGGCGGCACAGACGGCGGCGGCCACCCCCACCCAGACGCCGTAGGCATATGACTGTAGGGCCCCAGAAGGCTAGCTGGTAGCTTCATTTGTAGTAGCACAGCCGCCGGTGCTGGAGAGGGGTCCGCAGAGGTGGGGCGGGAGGGTTGAAAGAGAGACCCATCCACCCATGACCATCCCATGACTACATGGACATGGACATGGACCACACTCACATGTCTTTGCATGTAATTTTGTTATACCCTCATGGGGCACAAGAAAGAGGCTCTACGGGGTCTGTGTACGGTCTGTGCTGCTGTCAGGCTGTCAGCGCTGCTGTCAGGCCACACTGTGCGGTGCTGTCGGGCTGTCAGGCAGCTCTGTCAGGCTGTCACGTTAGGGCCTGACAGCGACGGGTCACCTCGCCTGTCAGGCTCTGCTGTCAGGCTGTCAGATACGTGCTGTCAGACTGTCAGAGAAAGTGCTGTCAGCGCTGTCAGGCTGTCGGGCACTGTCAGGCGCTGTCCGGGGTTTGCTGTCAGTCTGTCAGACCAGGGCTCAGAGAGAGAGAGCTTTTGTGGTGTTGGTGTACGCAATAACGGGACAGGGTAGTCGTTCTCTCTAGCTCCCCTTCTAGCTCTTAGCATGAGCTGCACCCTGTGTCCGACCCCTTTTGCGCAGCAACACCTTAAACTTTTAGGCCCTCCAAATTCGGGTCGGAGCGTAGCGGAGTGGGCCCCGAGTTTCAAAAAGGGCGACGGACGCTTGCGTCAAAGCCTCCAACAACGCCTCCCCGGCGCAGAGGGGCCCCCGGAGGGATGCTCAACCGCTCCACGCCACGCCGCTTGCGGCGGTCCTCTTCCCAGCTCCGCTGAGCAGTTGTTATTCTTCTTTTGGGCGTTCGCATGTATGCATGAGGCGCCGCCCAACCTTGCCGGAAGGGCTCGCGGTGGGCGACCTGACCGCGCTGCGAGCCTTCCTCTCCGGGCGGCGGACGCGCGGCAGGCTCAACGCGCGGCTCGAGACCGAGAAGCAAGACACGCTGCTCACTTGGGCCGCTCGGCACGGGCAAGCCGAGGCGGTGCGGCTGCTGCTCGAAGGCGGAGCGAGCGTCGGGGCGGCTGATGGGGGCGGCGCTCCCGCTCTTCTTCTCGCGTGCGATAAAGAATGCCTCGAGTGCGCCCGGCTGCTCCTCGAGGCCAATGCGGCGGTCAACCAAGCCTCGGATGACGGCGCCACGCCGCTGTTCATCGCGTGCCAGAAGGGCCACCTCGAGTGCGCCCGGCTGCTTCTCGAGGCCAATGCGGCGGTCAACCAAGCGATGAATGGCGGCTTCACGCCGCTCTACATCGCGTGCCAGAAGGGGCGCCTTGACATCGCCCGACTGCTCCTCGAGGCTGGCGCGGCGATCAACCAAGCCGAGGAGAATGGCGCCACGCCGCTTCTCATCGCGTGTCAGAAGGGCCGCCTCGACATCGTCCGGCTGCTCATCGAGGCTAGCGCGGCGGTCAGCCAAGCCCTCAACGACGGCGCCACGCCCCTGTACATCGCGTGCCAGCAGGGCCACGTCGCGTGCGCCCAGCTGCTCCTCGAGGCCGGCGCGGCGATGAACCAAGCCCCGAACCACGGCACCACGCCGCTGTTCATCGCGTGCCAGAAGGGCCACCGCGAGTGCGCCCAGCTGCTCCTCGAGGCCGGCGCTTCGGTCAACCAAGCCAAGGAGAATGGCACCACGCCGCTGTCCATCGCGTGTCAGCAGGGCCACATCGAGTGCGCCCGGCTGCTTCTCGAGACCGGCGCGGCGGTCAACCAAGCCCGCAACACCGGCGTCACGCCGCTGTCCATGGCGAGCCAGCAGGGCCACCTCGAGATCGCCCGGCTGCTCCTCGAGGCTGGCGCGGCGATCGGCCAAGCCGATGAGGAAGGCGTCACGCCGCTGCTCGCTGCGTGCCACAACGGCCACCTCGAGGTCGCCAAGCTCCTCTCCTCCTACGGCGCCTCCCGCGCCGCTACTCCCTTCGGCACGCCCGAGGAGGCCGCAAACCGCAAAGGCCACGCCGACCTCGCCGCCTGGCTGGTCGCCAGCCGCGGCTGGACGCCGCTCGCGCACCTCGAGAGCCTCACCGCCGCCCGCGCCACCTCCCTGCTGCGCAGCGGCGCAAGCCTGCACGAGGGCGAGCCGACGCCGCTGCAGCGCGCCGCGGGCGGCGAGGGCGAGGCGGCGGCGCCGATCCGGCGGGCGGCGGCGCCGTGGTCGCCGGCAAGCCACTCGCTCTTCCCCGCGGCGGCGCGCGAGCGGGCGGCGCTCCTCGTCCTCTCGCTCTACGAGATCCACGAGCGGCACCATCTCGACTCGGCAGGAAACACGAACGGCATCGCGGCGCGCGACTTTGTCGCGTGCGTGCTGCGCTTCGCGGTCACGCGCGAGACGGAGTAGGGGAGCTGTGGTGAGTGTGGCTTTGCCTCCCCCTCCGACGAACGGTGCTCGGTGGTGGCTAGGACTATGTGCGGATGATTCGGGGCGGCCATGTGGCGGGTCTCTAGGGATCTCTACGCTGAGAATTCTTTTCTGAGATTAGACGGCCGTGCAGAACTGGGCGAGTACGGCTTTAGAATTCTACCATCAAGCCCCTCTCAGCTCTCTCACAGCACTCAGCAGCAGACTCTGTGGCTCGGACTGGCACCTATACTGTATAAAAGAGGCACAGCAGGCGACGGCCCCTATTGCGTATTGGCATATGGGCCGTCGAAGAGGCCGGCGTACTCCTCCGGCCGACCCCCCTCCAAGAACAGGCCCCCCGCCCACACCCAGCACTCCCAGGAGCCAGGTCGAACTCCCAGGGTAGGCCAGCCCTCTTTCGAGGGACCCATTGGGTAGCTCTTCGAGGTCTCGCGGGGCTCTGCTCCAACCTCCAAAAGAGACCTCGATAGTGTGTGCGTGTGCCTCTACTCGCCCGGACAGAATCCTCCGCGTTTTCTTCTTTCCGGCAGACGTGACGTGACGCCCTCCGCCCAACCCTGCTTCTTCCGCTTGCCCAGTGTCGAGCGAGTGGCTTGTGAAATCCTTCCGCTTGACTCCGCATTCATCGAAATCCGTCCCCAAACAGCTATTGGCACCCCTAAGTAAGTCGGGCACCCGTCCACTGCCTGCCCAGCGCGGTCCCGAAGGTCGTGTGTTGCGCATCATACATGTCGAGCGTCACCGACGCCGCTTCTCCTGTCGTCGTCGACGCCGCTCCTGTTGTCGTCGAGGCTGTCCCTATGGCCGCCGACCGGGCGTCTCGTGGCTCCGCCAGCTCTGCCGCAATGTCCGGCGCGCCCTTCGGATCGCAGCGTGGCTCCGGCGGCGCCGACCCGTCCAAGCCTGGCGGTGGTCTGACCACCAGTGGGAGCTCTCGGTTCGACTTCAGCAAAATACAGAACCCTTGCGACTTATTCAAGCAGATGTCAAAGAGGTGCAAGATTATGTGCTCGCTATGCTCATGCTTGTCTTTTGTGCTCGTCGCGTTTGCGTTCTGCTGGGTGTCTATCTGGCCGGGATGCAGCTGCCCGAGATCTGTGTACTCGGTTCTCGAGGCACCAGCAGATCCCAACCGCTACACTGGCGGAGGCAGTTACACTGGCGGAAGCACACAGCGTGACGAGTGCCATTGCGAGGGCAGCATCTTCACCTGCAAGTGGGACTGTAACGGCGAATGTTTTGCCTGGGGCGAGAGCCGCGAATGTGAGTATGGATCGGGGTCGTGACCACTGCAACGATGCGATCCATAATTGATCTTACCACTTCCCTCCTCGTTCAACCAAGAGATGGACCAGGGGCGACATCGGGCGGGAATGAGCAGGTCCCCGCTCTGCGGTCTTCGTCCGCAGGGGTCTTAGGGAGCATGCGTGGCGAGGATCTTGGGAGGTGTCTATAATGAGGATTGATGTCCGGGATGCTAGGGTTTGTCTGCGGAGGTTCTGTCTTAGCACACATAGTGAGTCACTTTGCATCTGTGGCGGTTCTCGCCTCCTGTGCCCAGGTGCGACTGTGTGTGTGCGGGAGTTGATTGTCGGGAGGGAGCGGCAGGCTGCTCACCCACGTGCACCGGGCCTTGCACTTTGAATGCCGTGGGGCTCCTGCCCGTGTCCAGGTGTGGAGATGCGAGGGGCGTGGTATGCGAGGGTCGCCCCCCCTTTTGCCCCACCCACTCTCTCTTTGTGTGTGTGGAGAATTTTACCTTCCCTTACCTTACCTTGTGAGGATTGAAGTGTACATCGGGGAATATCATGCGGGGGTGGGCGGGAGAGCGGACTCGTACCCACTCACCCCTCGAGCACCCCCCACCCAACACCATGCATCCATGCTGACACTCTTGGTGTCGCGAGGGGAGAGCGCCTCTTCCCCGTGCGCCCGCCTCGGCCATAGAACCACCTCGGTTAGCGAGGCGGTCAGCGCTGCCAAAATATCCGCGCCGCCCTGGCGCTCAGGCCTGTGGCACGACCTTGGCGGACTTGCCCTCGTGGCCCTGCATGAGTGCCACTTTGCCATAGTCCATCTGATCGCTGCCGCGGTAGTCGGCCGGCGGCTTGACGAGCTGCGGATCGTACTTGAGAACCCCCTTCTTGAAGAGCATCGACCCGTGCTCGGGGAACGAGATGAAGAACATCAGCATCGTGATGCCGATGATCATGCCGCCAAGGTTGACCACGCCCACGTCCGTCCGGAAGGCACCCTTGAAGAAGATGTTGGTCGCAATGACGGAGCCGAGGTTGCCTCCAGCGCCCACCATGCCGGAAACGATGCCGAGCGCGGGGCGGGAGACGTAGGGCACGATGCCAAAGTGGAGGCCCTCCGCCATCTGCACAAAGACGGAGAAGATAATCACAATGATGACGGCGACGGAGAAGAGGTTGGCGTGGGAGATACACTCGTTGGGCAGCCCGGTGTCCGCGTTCGACGTGCCGATGGTCGTGTTGACGCCATCGATGAGCATGGTGCCGTAAGGCGGGTCCTGCACCAGGATGAGCGTGTCCTGCGTCTGGAGGCAGGATTTCAGCTCCGCAGTTGCCTTGATCTGCTTCGAGCCGCAAGGCAGCACGGTCTCGCTCGAGACGCACCCGTTGCCGTTGAGCGGCGTCCACCCGTACGGCGCGCCGATCGCCACTCGCCACGACTCTGCTGGTAGGTTAACAAAGGCGGGGACTTGTGTCATGGTGGTCGGGTAGGGCGCGTCGAGGCTGGTGGTGAGCGAGCCCAGCACGAGGCACATGATGCCCTCGCACGTCTGGATAATCCAGCAGGACCAGAGGCGGCCGCGCATGCCCCAGCGCGTGTTGCAGTAGTCCGAGAGAAGGCCGCCGAGCGAGCGCGCGAAGAGGTTCATCAGGCCGAACATGGAGGCGGCGATACCGGCGAGCTGCGGCGTCACGCCCTGGTACTTTGCGAAGAAGCCGTTGGCCACGTTGTTCATCGTGAGCTCGACACCAAAGCAGAAGCCGTAGGTGATTGTCAGGATCCAGGCGTTGACGTTGGTGATCCCAGTGACGACGACCACCTTTGAGTCGGTCTTCTGCTTCGCGCCCGAGCTCTCGAGCTCCCTGTAGTTGCCGTCGGGCAGGTCGCGGCCAGTAAAGACAAAGGCGGCGCCAAGCACAGCCTCAGGAGGTACCAAACCGCGCGAATTCTGCACGCCTCGCTGCACCGCTGGCTTGACTGAATCAGGCAGCAGCAGGCTGCTGCTGTTGCCACAGCAGCAGTCTGCTGCGGCCCCAATACGCAAGTTAATGACCAGCATTGCTGCCGGGGGCATTCTAGCCGCCACAGCCGGTGTGCGGCTGTGCACTGCCACCTGCCCGCGGCTACGCACAATGTGCGCTCGCATTGGATGAGCCCTGCTGATGGACCTGCGTCGCCTAGCTGCACGAGAGCAATGCCGCAGGCGGCGGCCGTGGCATACACTGCGAGCACACTTGGTGCAGCTGCGAGGTGCAGCAAGAGCACGTCGTTCCTGCCTCTGATGCCACTCTCGCGGCTTGCAGCGCGTCACTCGCGCATGCTCTCCAGGAGCTATGGCGGGCGCGTGTGTGGGGCTGTAGCCTGTGTTTGGCCGGTTCTGACCCGTTTACTATATCAGTACCATGCCTGGGCCACAAGAAGAATCGCACACGGGGAGCGGCTCAGGGACCCAGTAAGCCGCGGAATCGCCAAATGTGTAATGTCACAACCCGGCGCACCCAGGGCTGGAGGTGGAGCCTGGACCTAGTCACACACACACTCGTACGTGCTCTACACGATCCTCGATCGTAGTTCGTACAAATTAGAGAGAGAAAAGTACGTACGTACAAATTGCGCATTGCGGGTGACCGATAATCCTGCTTACTGGTGAGCTGAGGTTCTGTGTCTCTAGTCTCGGAGGGGGGCTTGAAGCTAAGAATATTTTATTCTACACGTACAAATGCGGGTGACCGCAGACAACTCACCCGCAACAATGGGGCAATAACTCAACCGCGACCGCGCACACAGCGCGAGAGATGGCATGGACGTACAAACTACAGCAAGCGTGCTGCGGGGCGCGGCCAATACATGCGACTACCTGCTCAAGCCCTCTCTTCGTCGCTCCTCCTCCTCCCTCCTCCGGGTCCCGAGCTGCCCTACATGAAGACGGCCGCCTGCCGCGCAGTGAGCCATCACTCATGAACGCGAGGTATGGGCTCACTGCCCGGCGGCCGCCTCTGCTGCCGAGGGTGTCTACAGCCGGAACCGGCCCCCGCGCGGGGTACACGCACACGCATTCATTAACTACCGACGAATGCATCAACTTGCACCTGGCGCGCGGGGTACACGCGGAACGCGCCCGCGGCCGCCGCGCTGCCGTCAGGCAGCAAGTAGCGCGACGAGAAGAGCAGCCGCGGCGGCTGGCCGGGGCACTGTACCATCGAGATAGCCGTGTCGACGGCAGACGCTCGCATCGCCACGCCGCCGCCCCCGCCGCCGACGCCGCCGCCGACGCCAGCGGGGGCGGGCAGCAGGATGCGGTGGGTCGCGCGCAGCGTCGACTGGCTCACGTCCTCGAGCCCGGCGGCGGCGGCGACCAGCGCCTGCGCAGCCGGGACGAGCTGAGATGAGATGCGGCCGAAGTGCCGCCGAGAGATGGCCGAGGTGCCAGGGAGAGATGGCCGAGAGATGGCCGAGGGATGGCCGAGGGATGGCCGGGAGATCGCCTGCACGGTCTGCACAAAGGCCACTTGCTCGTCTGGGTGCAGGATGCGGAGCAGCGATCCTCCGACCAGCTGCTGCCTAGGAAAGGTCGAGGAAAGGTCCGAGACTGGTCCGGGACGCGGTGGGCCTCCGACCGGCTGCTGCCGCGAGTAGCCAAACGGGGCTGCAGTCAGCGCCGCCTCGACGGTAAAGTCGAGCCCGACCAGCAGAACCGTGCACCTACGGTGCTGAAGACGCCAACCTCGGGAAGGGGGTGTTGTGCGGAGCATTCAGAGCACCGCGTGAAGACGAGGGGCACGAGTACGGCGGACTCCGTGTCCTCTCGAGCGCCGGTTGGAAGAGACCGGAGTACGCCTTCCGCTTCTAGCACCGTGCACCCCGTCGCCTCGATTAGCCGCACCGCCCCCGAGTCGAGCCCGAAGCGAGCGTCGAGCATGCCGCCGCCGCCGCCGCCGCCGAGCATGCCGACGGCCGCGTGCGGCACCATCGCCGCCAGCGCGGGGGCGGCGGCAGGCGGCGCGACGCAACCGCCGGGGTGCGCCGCCTCTGAGTAGCCCGCCGCGCAGTCAACGTGCGGCGCGACCGCCGGCGGCGCGGGCGCGGGCGGCGCCGGAGCGCCGCCGCCGCCGCCGCCGCCGCTGCTGCTTCGTCGGACGAGCGTGGCGGCGCGCTTGTGCTCGGCGAGCCGCACGTCGCCGGCGCGCGCGTCGGGGCGCTCGCCTATGGGAAGGGTCCGGGAAGGGTCCGGGAAGGGTCCGAGAAGGGTCCGACGTGTGCTTGAGCACGACGCGATCTAGGGAGCATCTCTTG